CCCAGAAGTGTCTAGGAAGCTGTGGAACTCCGCTTGTCCCCGACTCACTCGTCTGACTTACTTCAGCGCGCTGAGGTTGAACTCGTAGGCATTGTCCCAGAAGAGGACCTTGCTGTGGTAGTCCCTGTCGGCGCTGCAGGGCACAAGGTGCAGCGCGGCCGTGGTCGGCCAGATGATCCCGTCCTCCTTCAGCCACATGTCCCGGGCGTACAGGATGGACTCGATCATGAACTCAAACTGCACGAGGAGGGAAGAGACACAGAAGACCCCACAGCTGAGGCCGCGCGCCTGCGTGAGAGCTTTCCTCGCACGGTTCAGTCTGAACGTGACCCGGGGCTGTCACAAATGTTAGCACCCGCGCACTCTGGCAGGTGAGTGCTGTCCAGCACCATGCAGATAAGCACCGTAGAGAATTGGTTTCACACGCACAGGTGTTAGCTGTTAGGATCAAAACCGGACTGCCCTAAGGGTCAGGAGAAACCTGTATGCTGGTCCCACCTCAGCCGCTTAGGAGTCAGTCATTTCTGGACTTTGGGAGAGAGCCCCTGCGTTTTAGCTACCACAGGCTTTAACTGCTAAACGGAATCACTCGGTTTGGGTGCTTTCAGAATTTTCACACCCTTTAAGCTGACTGAAATCATTCCTTAACGCCACGAACTGTCAGACCAGGAGGAACAGAGATACCACGTGGTACTTGGTCAGAAGGGGTCTAAACCACATGAAAAAGAGAGATGAGCGCATCCACCCTACCCCACATCCTCACAGCAAGGCACCCTCACAGGCAGGTCCCTGACAGCCTGTCTGCACTGCACCGCCCTGCGTGGACGGGTCCCTCCTGGAAGACCCCCCAACCCCTCCTCCCGGGCTCTCCTGACACGGCCAGCCCCTCTGCTCCGGCCCAGACCCTGCCCTCCCCTCCCCTGGACACTGCCCTGTCCCCAGGGTCTCCCCACGCCCTCAGCCATCTCCCTCCTACATTGTCACCTCAGCCCAACAGCACAGCCCCAAAGACAGTGCCTGTGCTGAAGACTTGGATAACTAGACACCGGGCCAGCCTCATGGTGCTCAGAGGACAGCACCCGTTTAATGCTCGCTGTCTCTGAGCCTCGGCTGTAGGTGCCATCCCATGTGGCCAAGGATGTACGAGCTGACGAGACGTGTGCTGAGTGCACCCAGCTGCCCCATCTCGTCCTTTCTTACTCTGTGACTTCCCTGCGTTAGCCAACCCTTACGCTGACCACAAGGACACAGAAAGGGAAGAAGGGCACCCACAGCCCGCTTTCCTTTCAGCCCCTCCTCGCTCATCAGTGAGCCCTGGTCGAGGGTGTTGGCAGAACGTGCGTACCGAGTGAAGTTAACGCAGCTGAGCTAGTTCTGCGCAGCGGTTCCACTGTCTCGTGAGAACAAAACTCACGTGCACGTAGCTACAAACTGCGCATTGACCGTGATTCTGCATACCAACGTTCTTATATTTACATTTAAAACTGGCATTGCGTAATATGACGATGAATGTAAAATTTATGGTAATAATTTAAAATTTCAATTTTTCTTTACTTAGAACATTAAACAGCAGATAAAAAATACCATTACAAGTTGAGAGAGACTGCAAAAGAAAGGAAGAGGCGCTTCAGCCAAAGATTAGACAGGCCCACAAAACAAAACAAGACTAAAGGGGCACACCGGCCCAGGGGCAAGGACGAGAAGGCAGGAGGGGACAGGAAAGCTGGTAACAGGGAACCCAAGGTCGAGAAGGGAGAGTGCTGACAGGTCGTGGGGTTGGTAACCAATGTCACAACACAATATGGGTACTAATC